AATACACAGGAATTCCCTAATTTGGAAGGAGTCTTGTGAGCAGTCTAAGCGGAATATTGTTTGTTATTGATTTTTCCACAAGTTCGGAGTACCCGGCCCTTGTTCTCTGACAATTTGGCTACTGGAATATGACTTTTTGAGCTAACCTGGTGGAGGCTGATACTGTTTTCTGCCATTTATCCCAAAAACATTGTTTGTGCCATTGTGTCCTGGGCTGTGCTTCTAGGATGCTCTCCATGAAGTATGGGTACCAGATGATATTCATATTGAGTTTGACAAAGTTGCAGACCTCCTGTGCAAATCTTCCACCCAAATTAAAATCATTAATTATATTACTTTCCACCCCGGCAATGCTGCCCCAGCTGTGCAAATTCTCGGATGTGATTTCTTTCATGGCCTAAAAATACTACCATAGTGTCGGTAGAATATATGTCAAAACTAGAGAAATCCAAGACATTATGTTCATTCTCAGTTTTCCGACTATTCATAACATTTCTCACTGAACAATTCTACCACTAGGCAGTATAGCTTTGTGTGTTCAGCTGATTTTTTTTCCCATGCTTCACATATGTTTTAGTAACTTGGATACTGGGTCAGAAGTGATATGTCCTGTTCTGAAGTATCAGAAAACAATGTTCAAGCACTAAACACCCCACTCAAGACTGTTTTGATACATTCTGGGTCATTGTGTTAGTTCTGAATAGGTTGTTGGGCATTGGATAACAGAGAATATATGGTCTGATTGAATGGGGCTGATTTGCAGCAGCTGAGTGAGTCAGAGTGGCCTGGGGGTATGTTTTACAATTGCTGTTCGGATGCCGGGCTGTGCGGGCCGGTCTTCTGGCAGCGTGTAAACTGATCAACACACACTACTTCTGTGTTTCCCAGTATTTTCATAGATCAATATACATTCCTTGGGGTCACTGTTAACAACACTGATTACCCCTCTGTCTGATGCCCCAGTTGGTAGATTAGTGCACCTTGGATACTTTTGTCAGGTTTATGATATGAAAGATCTAACATGTCTTAAGATGGGCTGAAACAGTCCATGAAGTATACAGACTGGTCCCACAGACACCTTTGGTCAAATAATCTAGACCTGGCTGCAGTTGTGGGAACATCTGGGTACTTAAAAACGACCTAATTCCCTTTTATGGTCACGGGAGTTGAATATAAGTGATCCGATCAGGGAAATCAGTGGCAGTGCAATCCCAAATTTGGACTACTCCTACTGCCAGAGTCCCAAACGGGAGGTCCTGATTCCACATCAATATTCCACCTCCAATGGGACCAATCGAGACTCATAGAGTGGGTAATATTATTATCTCCCAATGTACTGTTTGGCCGACCCGAAACTAAATAGGGCTCATAATATTAATCTCATGTTCAGCTGAGCCCAGCACTCCAGAGGGCATAATATTCCACCTCTCTCCAACCTATCGTTCAGCTGAACTGAGGCCCATAGGGTGTATAATATTACCTGGCTGACCAGCTGAGTCCAGGCGCCTAGGCTCCCTTAATATTCCAGGGATGGTCAGCTGAACCGAGCGCCATAGGGCACATAATATTATATTCATTTAATCTAGTGTTCGGCTGAACATAGGCCCCTGGGGTGTATAATATTACCTGGCTGACCAGCTGAGTCCAGCTGCCTAGGCTCCCATAATATTCCAGAGATGATCAGCTAAACTGGGCTTCATAGGGTACATTATATTATGCTTATTCAATCTATTGTTTAGCTGAACGAAGGCCTGTAGGGTGTATAATATTGACTGGCTGACCAGCTGAGTCCAGGTGTCTAGGATCTCATAATATTCCAGAGATGATCAGCTGAACTGTGCTTCACAGGGTGCATAATATTATGCTCATTCAATCTATTGTTTAGCTGAACCGAGGCCAGTAGGGTCAATAATGTAACTCAGATAACCAGCTAAAACCAGCTCTCTAGGGCATCATAATATCACATCTAACACTGCTGATTCGAGTCTTCTCGGGTGTACAATATTATGTCCACCCAGTTTATTGTTCAGCTGAATTGAGGCATGTAAGCTGTATAATATTGCATTTACATAGCTCATGCATGGGCTGTCCCCTGCTTGGGTTCAGCCCGTGATGTTGAGCCAAGCCCTGCCTGGTAGGTAGAATAATATTGTCAGAAATATTATCATGGCCCTAATGTTCAGGAGTGAGCTGATAATCCGGCGGACTTAGGGGGGCCCTAAACTCTAGGGATTAATCATATGTAGGGGGCCTAGGCCTTAGGTCATTTTCGACTGCATATTGTGGGCCGTCTACACTGCCTGTGCTATTCTCATTCTATTAAAAGACTCGTGGTGGTTAGGATTATTTGTACTTTCTAAGTCTTGCCCGACGACAGTTTCCTCACTGAAACTCTCATGAGACTGCCAATCCTTTGAGGGTGTTCGACCACCTTTCTCATTGTGGCAATGTGTTTGATTAAATTCGCGCAGTTCAACCTGTTCATGAGCTCTAATTGTGACTTCAGTCTTGAACGAATGGTAATGGCTCCATACTCCGCCCATTCTATGCTGGATACGGCTGGACATCTTTGTTAACACACTGCAAGCCAGAACGATGAAGATTGACTTATCCTGCGATGTGGGTACTCCCTTGAATGGGTCGATTATATTTCCAGCATGCTGAGCCGGTCGCACACCTAGGTCGTGGCAGGGCTGCAGCAGTGAGCGGGAGATAAGAGTGGTTGTCTGCGCGCTTAAATCTGTGCTGTCAATGTACCAGTATGTAACTATTCCTGCAAGCCTTGACGACAAATTGGTATGTGTCGCACCATTTTTGGTGAGTCCAACAGCTGCGACAGTACTGTCCTCTCAAGCAATAAAAAGCAGACTTCCTTGGCATCGCAGGCGAAGTTGTCGCTCATTGATTAGCAATCAATTGTGACGGAAATCTGAAGGGGGTGCCACAGTCAACAAATGGATCGTGCACGCGCCTTGAGAGCGACGGAGTGGTTGCAATGTAGGTGTAACTAATGGTACCAGTACGAACTGTTCATTAAATCACCACCGAGTTCGCGAAATTACTCAGCAATGAGCGTATTTTAATGAACTCCGGACGAAAGATTGATCCAACTGAGAGGGTATTGAAAGAGGAATCAAGCAATTAATGCAGTTTCCTTCAACCTGGCTCACTTCAATAGAGTCTTAAAGCATGAATACTATGGAATGAACTTGAATCTACTTATATCCGGTCACAAGTGGCTGCAAAGCAACCGGACACGGGTCACCGCAAGTTACAACGGGTGTTCCTAGTCAAAACTGACGAAATTTTGGGTGGGGCTTTTTTGTGTCTAAGCGATGTATAACAGTGAGAAAACAATGCCCCAGCTTGATTTAGCGGCCAGAGAGCATTTTCTGAAAAAGTATGGTGCGCGCCGATGCCGCGTCAGTCCGCGTCAGTGCGCGCCGGTCCGCGTCAGTCCGCGTCAATTTTACCGTACCCCCTCGAATCCCATTCACGCGCGTCCGAGTCCCCGAGTGCGCAACTCCAAGTTTCGGATCCTCACGCGCGCGACTCCAAGGTTCGACTCACCGCCCGTGCAAATGCAAGGCTCGACTCCTTGCGCCCGGCTGCGTCATCCCCGGCTCCGGATGCGGATCTGGATCGAATCTAAATCCCGTGCAAGCACATCTGAAATACAAGCCTCCAATCTGAATGCCTGCACTCGCAAATGCACATCTAGGTCCAAGTCCTCGGGATCTCAAATCCAATTCTCGACTCCAAACCAAGGGGGTTTCGGCATTAAAGATATAGGGGGGGGGGGGGGGGGGGGTCCCGAGGGTCGCTGAAAAAAACTTCCATCATGTAGTATGAGGGAGGTTCAAAATGCCTCCCAGAGCATAGTAAGATGTCATGGGAGGGTAGGAGAGTGTAATCTGGGACCTAGAAGACGACCATGCTGTTGTGCTACTTCGTTGTCCCGATTTGGACTACTGATGACCCTCACGTGCACAGATCAGTTCTCGGAAACAATTGCGTGCCGGCTCTAAGGGTGAAGAAATAGATTCATTGGTGTCAAGAATACATATGAGAAATTAATACTACTGTACACGCTATCAGTGTAATTTTTGGGACAGTGCAGACATGCCTTCACGGCCGGAAACACTGTCAGTTCATGCCCTCAGTTCTTGCTCAGGTCAGCATTGAACTGCTCAAAGAGAGCCCACCCATTGGGAATTGAGTATGGAATAGGAATCATTAAACTAGAAGACCTCAGAGTGCAGTAGAGTGCCAGGCAGGTGAGTAGTAGCATAGTTGGTTTGGGTTGGGAAGCTGTCAATACAGTGGCGGTGGTGCGCACATGTCCCGGAGAGACAGCCCGCCGCTAGGGGTGGGAAAATCCTTCCCTATTTGGGGGGGGGGGGAGGGGGAGGGGTCTGGCAGAGGGTCGAAAGAAAACTTTTCGACTCTATATCCGTTTTCGAATCCCGCTTCCCCCTTGCTCCAAACTTCACATGCATCACGTCCCGTCTTGACTCCGCATCAGGTCCCAGCCCTTCTCAAATTGGCGTGCATCCAGATTCCAGATGCATATCCTCGTGTTCGCAAGTGCAGGTCCACGTCCACGCGCTCGCAAATCCAGGCCCAGACCTTCAATCGACGCCCCTGCACATCCTGTCCATGGCCAAAGAGAACGAGAACGAGCACGGACGAGCGTGATTCCGGGATGTGTGGGTGTGGGTCGAGTTGGGCGGTATTGTATGGTACTTAGGTGTAAGGTAGGTAGGTAGGTGGGGAGGTCCGAGTGTGTCGCGAGGTCCGAGTGCGTCGCGAGGTGCAAGTGCTTAGTATGTAGCGTTGTTTTTATTTTATTTTCAAAAAAATGGATATTGGGTGAATATACACCGAGTGATCATGAGCGGGGTTCCTGTTCTGAGCGGTCTTTCTTCGAGATGGGGGAATACCGCCGCGTGCGATGAGTAAGGATGAAAAGAGAGAAAAAAATGAGTGCGTCAACACTATTCAGACACAGGGACTTGAACCCCGGTCTACCTCTTAATCTTTCACTGATCTCCAACATTAAAAGGCTGTGTTCCCACTACACCATGTCTGACCTACTCCTTGGAACATCTGGAGAGCTTTATCAGCTTGTTTGAGTATTAGTGTTTGAATAATTGTAGACAGAGCGGCGCTCTTGTTTTCAGGTATTCGAGGCACGAGTGGGAATGTTCGACTTGAAGCTTCGATAATAATTCGATTTCGAAGGCGAGAAAAATGAAAAGGAAAAAAACCAAGCTATACAGATCCTATTCAGACACAGGGAGTCGAATCATGGATTGCCTCTTAATTTCGACTCGGCAGCAGAATAGGAGGCTGTGCTTCCGTTAAACCATGTCTGATTTCCTCTCTAGTACATCCGGGTGCTTTTATGAGCTCGTTTAATTATTATTAGTGTTTGAATAATTGTAGACAGAGCGGGGTTCTCGTTCTTTCTTCGTGCTGTGGATATTCAACATTTAACCGGCGCAGGGTGGCACAAGATATATACCCAGTAATCCCGCCACATTTAGTCCGTCGGCATATATACGCCGGGGAACCACATTTCATTCGGAAAGCGGGAATCCGTGACGGTGTGGCGTTTGTACGAGATCTGGGATTTGTGTAAAATTATTGAAAACGACTCGTCCGAGTGGATGCAGACCTCTTCGCAAGGGAGCTGAGACCCCACGTCCCGTTGAAAAATCTGGGCTGTGATTCCTCTGAGGCGCAATTCATCGACTACGAGAGCTTTAGGCGCCTGAGACCCCAGCTTGACGTCGTACTCGGTATCATCAGGACGGATAGGTCAACGTTGTTGACACTTTATGTCACCTGTCAATGATCACCAAATCGTCTCGATTTGAGATGGGAAACAAGAAATTACTGTGTGAATTCAAATCTTCTGAGAGCAGAGTTGAACTTGACTTTGCGAAAAGGAATATCCCCAAAGCAAAAACACAACCTTGATGTTCGGAAACTTTGATCGCGAAAACGAAACCGTGACCGCGAAAACAAAACATAAGTCAGCATGTTTTCGTTTTGACCTGTTAGGTTTTCGTTGGGGACGATTTGGTTTTTGTTCTGGTCGGAAATGTTTCACGCTCCCTCATCAAACACGATGATCATTGTCAAAAATTTGCAGCACTAGCTATCAAACAAAAACTAAAATTTTGTCCAAAGCAGACACCTATACTTAGAGACCTTCCACACGGTCTCGGTCAAGTTCTTCCGAGACGGGGTGCGGGCCGCCGTCGCGGAACTCGCCCGCGTCCGGGTCCCCATCTCCATCATCCACGGCTCGTTTGCGGCTCGTACGATATCGCATATCCCACCGGCGGATGTGCTGAGGAGCTCCTTAAATCACTGAAAAGCGGGGGCCATGACGTGAATGTCACTTCCATCCAGGGAGCCCCGCATTCTGCTAACATTATGCATGCCAATAAGTACGTCGCTGCGATTCTCACCTCTCTACAGCTCCCTAAGCTGTTTTTCTCGATTCAGGGTTAATACACTCCTGTACGAGGTCGTCTTGGATCATTCCGAGGGAGCGAACATTCCTCCTGCGCAATTCAGCGCTGAGTCGCCGTTCGCAGAAATTATGATTGAGGTGGAGCTCCGGGACGATGGGTCCGACAGCGATTCATATTGATACGCATAGATAATCTTTGTGTAACTTCGAAGTCTGTTTACGCTGAGCTTATACCCCAGTAGAGCCGTGAATGTCCTGAGATTCGAACACGAAATACTTCATTCTTCGATTTGCCCCTTTCCATTTGGTACCTACATTTCCCCGAGTCCACACAAGGTTCTTTCAATCCACTCTGGAAACATTTTACGCTCGGTTCCAATGAATTAACGAATACTCACTGGTCACTCTGTCCCAGCATTGGTTATAGGCAGCAAAGGATGAAATTCTGAGTCGCCGGGCGCATTACGAGAACGTTTGAGCCTCAAAATGGACTTGTAGCCACGGATCACCGCCACGGCGACCACGGCGAGCAGTGCTGCCATCTGGTCCATTTCCAGGACAGATATCCCAGTCAGCGGGAAGTATCCGCCCCGTGGGAAGAATGCGGAGATGTACACCACTGGCCAGGAGGAAACACGGCCTCCAGACCACAACATTCCGTAGAGGAGGGCGATCATGACCGCAACTGAGAGTGGCGCGCACACAAACAACACCCCTGAAACGAATCCGACAGTTGCGCTGACGATCAAGGCGCTCCGTAAGTTGCGGCGGCGAGCGATACGGACTACGAGCCCAAAGCAAGTGGCGCTGGCTGTTGACATCCCCGCGATGATCCAGTAGTCCCGCGAAAGGTACGCCTCGAGGATCTTCAAGGGGGATATATCCTTGAGGGAGAGGAATAGGACCGGCGAGTCAATGTCGGTAAAGGCGAAGATCTTGAATCCGGCTATCCCCTCCGGTATTCCGTTGTGCAAAAGACACTAGGGAACGGGAGCCGTCCTCACGATGGCCTCGTGAGCGCGCCAGGTGAACGGAGCGGCAGCGAGGCCGAGAACCACTGGAATTATGGCGATGCCAGCCGTGCGGAGATGTAACCAAGGACTGGAGCCGACTCGGATGGCGCTCGCAACGGTGAACACCAAAGATCCAGTCCCGACCGCGACGACGCGTTCCGCACAGAGAAGAGCCGGCAACAATACCGAGTGGCTGCCACTATCACCGAGGGCTGCAATTGTTCTTGCTTTGAGGATGAGATCGATTGCAGCAGCGGCGGTGTAGCAGGATGCGCCAATGAGATCGTAGTCCCATTCAAGTGGAAGCTCGCCGCCCTTGAGCAAGGCCAAACTTGTGTGGGTGTTGGTCATCCCAAGGGTAATGAGCCATGCCCACCATGCGCCTGGGCCGTAGAATCCGGAGATGGGGGTATCGGAAGTGATCCTAGAGAGAAGCTCCTTCTCGGTGGCCATCGTGTCCTGAATGATGAGTTTCATGACCCAGATAATCGCGGCTAACGTGGGGATGCCGCAGATTGTGCCGATTATTCTTTCGGCCCAGGAGCATGGGGGCGGAAAACTCCTTAGATGAGGTCTCTGTGGCATTTGGATGACGCCCTAAGAGTGTGTTAGAAATTGAGTCGGTGACGGGGAAAGACTGACGGTGGTGGTGGAGAAACAGCAGTTTCGGCTTCCTCGAGTGGGCTGTGCCGGGCGCTAGACATGCTGTTCTGCGTGTCCCACGTCCAGGTGCATTGCCACTCTGACGGCACATCGGTGTTCCATGAGGGGCTTGCCGTAGAGCTGTCACTGCACGGCCCACGCGAGGAGTTACCGTGCTACTGGAGGAGTGAACCCCTTGAGAAGATGTGCAGACTTGAATGGATTTGGGCGTGCGATGCGAGCATGTTCTTGGACCCGAAATCAGTCCCTTTCTCCGAACGCAAAAGGCCCGGGTAAATGAACAGAGCCAGCCAGGAGGGAGCTTACGTGAGCAGTGTCATATCGCAATAGATTCAGTCCACCCTGCAGCGACATATCCACCATTCTGTAGTACTCTGAGTCTCCAGAGCCGGGTGGGCTGACGGAAGCTCAGGGGCCATGTTTCGTGCCCCGATACTGAACCGTGGATGGCTGCCGTTTTTCCGCATCTCAAGGTGCCTCAACTATCCCATTCGACGCATGAACGATTGAGCTTTGAAGGCAAATTGAGGACGTGAACGGCATTCCAACTCCAAGGGATATATTTTGGCCCAAGACCTCTCCAAATTGCCCAGGGTTTTCCGTCTGAAGTCAGCCGAATCAAAGGCCATCCGACCGACCCCTTGGAAGTTGCCAGCTGCCGAGGTTCGAGTCCACAAGGGCTTGCATCAATGACGTCACCCGCTCCCATCCTCATCGTCTAACCACCTACTCTCGATGCTGTCGACACCCCCCTCGCGCCCCTCGCCCAAACGGCCCGCCCTCTCCGGGTCTGCGTCCTTCAATTCCTCCTCAACAGTCTTCTCCAACGTGTCTTACCGACACCGGCATCTGCGCGCACCCCGTGATGGACCTGGGTCGCGTCGCCCGCCCTCGAGTCCCATCACACGCGCCATCCACTTCCTTCATCCTCGGCTCCCCGTGGTTCTCATTCACCATTCCCATCCATCCATTCACTTTTCTTTTCGTCCTTTCATTCTTCAGCCTTCTGCCCTTTCTTTCACCGCCCAACGTTCACTTATCGTGCCATTGACCATCGACACGTCCGCGCTGAGCCCGTCTCCATTGACTCTACCCCACGTCGTCGCCGTCCCTCATCCCGCGTCACGCGTCTAGATCCATCCGCACTGCATTGCCTTTCCTATCTCCTTCCTCCGCGCACCTCACACCCCATCCCCACCCTCCTGTGTTCTTTCCCGTCATCGCTCCCCCCGCGTCCACTTACTATCCATGCACACGTACACTCCTCGTATTCACGCGCCCGTCCCTCCTCGCCTCGCAGCGTCCCCTTCCCCTCCTCTCCGCATTTTAATCATCCTGGTGCGCTCACCTTCACACCCTGCCGCTTCACTTCCTCCCACCCCTCTTCATCATCCGTCCGCATCCGTCTCCCTTGCCTCCCTGTCCTTCCTCGCCCTCGCCCTCTCTTCCTCCTCTTACCGCACGCGCCCCTTCTCCTCCCTCCATCCGTCCGCTCTCTCCGCCCTGTCCCCACCTCAGTCCGTGTCCGTGTCCGTGTCCGTGTCCGTGTCCATGTCTATGTCCGCCATCGCCATCGCCATCGCCATCGCAGCCCACCACGCATCCCGTCCCCTTCCACCGCATCAGGCATCAGCGCCCACACCCGCCCGGGTCCCGCGCCTCCCGCCCGCCCTCCATCCATCCAACCCTGCGCGCTCTCAGTGACCACCGCCGCCACCCCCTCCGCGCACCCTTGCCCGTCCTGTCCCGTCCCTCCGCGCCCTTGCCGCTGGTGCGCGGGCGTCCTATCCACCTGCTGTCTCTCCATGACCATCGCCATATCCAAGCCCAGGGCCCTCGAATCCCATTCGCGCACATCGAATCCCCGTGTGCGCAACTCTACCTTTCGGATCCCCGCCTATCTCAATTCAAGGCTCGACTCACCGCCCGCGCAAATTAGGTTCGCACCCGCGCGTGACTGCGTCATCCGCATCTCCGGATCCGGATCTGGATCGAATCTGAATCCCGCACAAAGACATCCGAAATCGAAGTCTCGAATCTGAATATCTGAATGCCCGCGCTCGCAAATGCACATCCAATTCCAAGTTCTCGCGATCTCAAATCCAAGTCTCGACTCCCCGCGTCTCGCAACTCTAAACTTCACGTACATCACGCCCCGTCTTGGCTCCGCATCAGGGCCCAGTCCTTCTCAAATCGGCGCGCATCCAGATTCCAGATGCCTATCCCCCGTTCGCAAGTGCAGGTCCCGGACCTCCTCAATCGACGCCCCTGCACATCCCGTCCAACGAGAACGAGCGGACGAGCCGTTTGATCTGTGAGTTATGATTCTGGGATGTGTGGGTCGGGTTGGGTGGCGTTGTGTGGTAGGTGGTAGGTGCGAGGTAGGTAGGTAGGTGTGAGGTGCGGGCCAGGCGGGGGGCGGAGGGAGGGTGCGGAGAGTGTGTCGCAAGGTGCAAGTATGTAGGGTTATTATTAGTTTTTTCGAGAAAAGAAAATGGATATTGGTTGAATGCAGCGAGCGGGCGGGGTTCCTGGTGGTGCAAGTAGTACCGCCGCGTTCGATAGGAATGGAAAATTTCAAAAGAAAAAAGATGAGCTCAACCCATTCAGACACAGGGATTCGAACCCCGGATTGCCTACAGAATAAGAGTATTTCGCGTAGAAGAATAAGCTGTGTTCCCACTACACCATGTCTGAGATATCTCCCATTACATCGGGGTGGTTTTATCAGCTTGTTTGAATTAAAATGTAGAGCCTGAACGGGGTTCTTGGTTTTTAGATATTCGAATTTCGAAGCGCGAGCGGGGAATGTTCGACTTGAAACTTCGATTTCGAAGGCGAGAGAAATGAAAAGGAAAAGGGAAAGAAATTGTATGACCCACATTCCTCCATTCAGACCCAGGGGACTGAACATCCTATAGATTTCCTGCCACCCAAGGAGAGGCCGTGTTCAGACAGAAGGATTTGAACCCTGGGCCGCCTCCAAAAGCCCGTACGCATTGCATTTATCATAGAGGCTACGTTCCCGCTAGTCTGACTTCCTTTCTTATCGATCCGGGCAGTTCTATGTGGCTCGTTACCAGGCAAATGAACGTAAGAACAAAACAGTTACTGCCAAGCTTAGTCAGACACAGGGATTCGAACCCTGAACAGTCTCGGAATACGAATATGAATATCATATATATTGCGAGGCGATGTTCCCATTACACCACATCCGACTTTCTTTGCAATAATACGGCCGGGTGCTTTTATGATCATGTTGTAAGAGGATGCAAGTAAATGAAAAGAAAGCTTCATTAGACATAGGAATTCGAACCCTGGACTGTCTCTGAAATGCACGTTTGACCGTGTTTCCGCTACACCACTATCTGAATACCTCTGGCCTTCCTAGTTGGGTTGTATTAGCTCCGAGGTTGAACCTTCCCGTTTGGCGGCGCGGCGCGGGTGGACCCGGAAGCCAATCTGGCGGGGATGTATAAGGCTGGCGTCAGTGCCAAGCCGAGCTGTTGTGGCCTACGAGTCCACCATCGAATTCACGATGGCGTCCAGCAGGCTGAGGCTGAGCTCACAGTCGCGGCAACCGTCAACGTCGCCGTCCCCACATCAATGACATCACCCGCTCCCTAATTCGCTGATTGCATCACCACCCTAGATTGGAATGGAGAGGACGGACCGAGTCAGCTGGAGCCCACGCAGTTTTTCTCTCCCGCTATCGACCTGGTCAGCTTGCCAGGGATGTAGACCCCAGATCTACCGCGGGAGGCGAGCTGGATTCTTCGCGCGGGGTGGGCTGGCAAGGGGCCTGGGTCGTGTTGTTGGAGAAACAAGCCCGTAGGGAGTCATTGGGGGGAGGGAGGAGATCATACATGAGAGAGACGACAGACCCCTGGGAGATGGCTCGGCTCACGGCGCTGCTTGCAGCGAAGATGGATGCATACGAACAGATCCTCGGGAGGACGAAGTACCTTGCGGGCGATGTGCGTGCCCCTTTACTCATGTAATCAATTGGCTGTTGAACTCATTGGCAGCCCATCACACTGGCGGACCTGTACCACCTCCCATACGCTGAGGTCCTCACCAGTCACATGGGCAACGACATGATGACGGCGAGGCCGAACGTCGCACGGTGGTTCCGGGAGATCAGCTCGCGCCCGAGTTGGGCTGCGGTTAGGGATGGGGTTAGTTCGACGGCTTGAGGCTCGGAGCGGGGTGTCATTAAAGCCATGGATCGGATTTAAATATGAGACGTGGTCGTTTTGTGCAGGTGAACGTTAGGAATGGAGAAGGACAATTAGCAGAAATTCCTGGTGCATGGCTACGATTGCAAGTGTTGCATGTAAATTATGCCCTGCTCGCGTCACGGCGGCCCATCTGAGTAAGGGCAGCCGCAAGCAGGGATCATAGAAGCAAAAACTGAAGCCCTGCTCGCCGCGTTGAAAGTCTCCTGCGGGGGAACCGGTTCAAAACTAAAATTCAAGTTCAGGTCCCCCGAGTCCTGTGTTTAGAAGTGGAATCGAACATGTAATTTACGTAGAAATAAGGAGAGATCACCAAAAAAAGGGACCTAGCAGAGTTATTCAGAGACAGGGATTCGAATTCTGGATTGCCTCCAAAGACGTGGAAGTATTGTCTTTTCTACAGCTGGTTTCAAAAGTTTGTACGGGTTTTACGAAACGGTGGTGCTCGATTTGTGCTTACGATTGTTTGTCACTGTGGAGCCCAGCTCCAACGCTCCACACCTCGTCCCAACTTCCTTTAAATCATATTTGTCTCTCTACGACGACCCCTGGGTCCCAATAAGTGTATTTATGATGTGTATATTCAAGGCAAAGTGTTTGGAGGTAATACGAAAGAGAATACAAGAAAAGCTACGACGATGACATCGTCAGGTGGAGCCAAGTGGGGCCAAATCAGTAAACAACGGTAAGCACAAATCGAACAGCACTGTTTCGTAAAACCCGTACAAACTTTTGAAAACGGCTGTAATTGAAGGCCGTGTTCCCACTACACTATGTCTGAGTTCATGCCTTCTCGATTGAATTAGCTTTATCAGGTTGTTCAAAGAGGAGTAAGAATGCAAAAATGTAAAAAGAAAAATGTGTCATACACATGAATTCAGACACATAGAATCAACCCCTGGACTACCTCTGAACGTTGAACCGATGCACCGGTATTGTATGAGAAGAGGTTGTGTTCCAGCTACACCATGTCTGATTTCTTTTCTACTGCATCCAGCTGGCCTTATCAGGTTGTTCAAAAAAGGAATGTAGATAATATAAAAAGCCAACCTACAGTATCATTCAGATATAGGGATTTGAACCCTGGCTGCCTAGAACAGACATTTGTGATAAACATTGCAGGAGGTCGTGTTCCCATTACACGCAGGCTAACTTCCTTCCTCCTTCCTTGGTAGTCTTGTTAGCATGTTCAAGGGAGGATGTAGGAAAAATGACCTGGATGCAACACACATTAAGGTCGTTCATGATTCCATTTTTCCTCCCATTTTTCATTTTTCGTTCCATTTTCTGTTCCTTTGCTAAATAAATGTATCCGCATCAAATAGGGTGGGGGACAGGCTTTTGTTATGCCGCGCGTGCATGCATGTGGCCCCCTGAGATATCCTGTGGGGATTTGAACTACACAGGGATGCAAACCTAAGTAAAACGAAAAAAGGAGTGCAAAAAGGGAGCTTTCGTCGGGGGGTTTCACAGTTCACTTTTTCCGGCCATTTTTTTTTCCCTCTTTTCTGCCGTTTCACGAATTCTGCACCTGGACACTTCGTTTCTTCCATTTTCAACCTTTTTTACATCACTGAATTGAAAAGGGAAAAAATCCCGAGCAGAAACCAGGGAAAATCAATGATGCAGTAAAAAAATGGTGGAAAAAATGGGAGAAAAAAGTGAACTGTGAACAACCCTCATTCAGACACAGGGATTCGAACCCTGAACTCCCTCCAAGACCTAGAATATTGGATCACAAGTAGAGGCCGTGTTCCCACTACACCATGTCTGATTCTCTTATATGTTGTTCGCTGATATTTATTAACTCTGAGGCTGAATCAAGGTTGACCCTTCCCGTTTGGCGGCGCGGCGCGGGTGGGTCCGGAAGCAAATCTGGCGGGTATGTATAAGGCTGGTGTCAGTCCCAAGCCCATTGAGGCCTACGAGCACCGTCGAGTCCGCGCCGGCGTCGAGTTCACCGCGGTCGTCGAGCGGGGGCAACGTGTGTCGGCTCACCATCCCCGCATCAATGACATCACCCGCTTCCATCCTCACCGTCCCACCAACCTGCACTTGATTCCACCACCTACGATGCTATCGACACCCCGCTCGCGCGGCCCCTCGTCCAAACAGCCCGCCCTCTCCGGCTCCGCGTCCTTTGAGCCGTCCTCAACAATCTTCTCCGACGCCTTCGACAGCGACCACCCCGTGCTCCACCCCGGCCGCGTCGTCGACCTGTCCTCCCATCGCGCCCAGACCATCGTGCCTTCCCGCATCCCCCGTGGCTCTTTTTCGCCGTCCACTTCCTGCATCCTCCTTCACCCTCGCCTCCTCGTGGCTCTCATCCACCATTCACATCCACTTCCTTCCTTTGATTTTCGTCCTCTTCTTCTGCAGCGTTATGCACTTTCTTTCACCGCGCCGCCCGCAATTGCATCGTCTAACGTCCCATTTGTCGCGTCGTTAACCATCGACACGCCCGCCCTGAGCCCGCCTGCATCGCCTCTACCCCACGTCGTCGCCATCCCCGTCATTCCACGTCACGCGTCCATATCGACCGCATTGGATTGCCTTTCCTCCCTCCGCACCTCATACCCCGTCCTCACCCTCCTGTGTCCTTGCCGTCATAGATCGCTCCCCCGCGTCCACTTACTATCCACACGCACGTCCCCTTTTCGTATCCACGCATCCGTCCCTCGCGCTCGCAGCGTCCCCTTCCCCGCCTCTTCGCATCTTAATCATGCTGCTCTCCCTTCACACCTCGCCACTTCACTTCCTCCCGCCCCTCTTCATCATCCGTCCGCGTCCGTCTCCCCTCGCCCTCGCCCTCGCCCTCGCCCTCACCCTCGCCCTCTTACCGTACTTACACGCCCCTTCCATTCCCTCTCTCCCTCCCTCCCTCCCTCCCTCCCTCCCCTCCCCTCCCCTCCGTCCGTCCATCCGTACGCCGTCTCCGCCATCTGTGCCCATCTCGGTCCGTGTCCGCGTCTATGTCCGCCCTCGCCCTCGCCATCGTCATCACACCCCGCCGTGCATCCCGTCCCCTTCCGCCGCATCGGCGTTCAGCTGTCCGCGCCTCCCGCCAGCCCTCCATCCACCCAACCCTGCGCGTTCCCAGCCACCGCCGCACCCTTACCCATCCTGTTCCGTCCCTCCGCGCCCCCCTCGCCGCTAGTCCCGGTGCGCGCGTCGTATCCGCACCGCTCTCTCCCATATTAAAGTCCAGGCCTCGAATCCCATGCCCGCACATCCGAATCCCCGCGTTCACAACTCCACGTTTCGAACCCCCGCCTATCTCGATTCACGCCTCGACTCACCGCCCGCGCAAATTAGGTTCGCGCCGGTGCGCAGCTGCGTCGTCCGCAGCTCCAGATCCGGATCCGGATCGAATCTGAATCGCGACTCCAAGTCCCGTACAAGCACATCCGAAATCCAAGTCTCGAATCTGAATGCCTGCGCTCGCAAGTGCAGGTCCAAGTCCTCGCGATCTCAAAATCCAAATCCAAGTCTCGACTCCCCGTGTCTCGCAACTCCAAACTCCGCGCGCATCACGTCCCGTCTTGACTCCGCATCAAGTCCCAACCGTTCTCAGATCGGCGCGCATCCAGATTCCAAATGCATATCCCCGCGCTCGCAAGTGCAGGTACGCGTCCCGAGTCCACGCGCTCGCAAATCCGCATCCCCGCCCGCAACTCCACATCCCCCGCGCTCGCAACTCCGAATCCAATGCGCCTTGCCGCGATGAGCACGAAGGAACCGTGACGGGCGTTGGTGATTCCGGAATGTGTGGGTCGGGTGGGTGGCGTTGGACGGTAGGTAGGTAGGTAGGTAGGTGTGGGCGAGAGGGAGGTGCGAGAGGCAAGTACTTAGTATGTAGCGTTGTTTTTAGTTTTTTCAAAAAAAATGGATATCGGGTGAATATACACCGAGTGATCATAAGCGGGGTTCCTGTTCTGAGCAGTCTTTCTTCGAGGTGGGGCAATATCGCCGCGTGCGATGAGTAGGAATGAAAAGAGAGAGAAAAAAATGATTGGATTCAACACTATTCAGACACAGGGATTTGAACCCCGGATTGCCTCTGAATCTTTGACTGATCTCCAACAATAATAGGCTGCGTTCCAACTACACCATGTCTGACTCACTCCTTAGAACATCTGGAGAGCTTTATCAGCGTGTTTGAGTATTAGTGTTTGAATAATTGTAGACAGAGCGGGGCTCTTGTTTTCAGATATTTGAGGCGCGAGTGGGAATGTTCGACTTGAAGCTTCGATGATAATTTGATTTCGAAGGCGAAAAAAATCAAGTTATACAAATCCCATTGAGACACAGGGAGTCGAACCATGAATTGCCTCTCAATTTTACTGGAGAGTACCCAGAATATGAGGCCGTGTTCCCATTACACCATATCTGATTTCCTCTCTGGTACATCCGGGTGCTTTTTATGAGCTCGTTTGATTATTATTAGTGTTTAAATAATTGTAGACAGAGCGGGGTTCTCGTTCTTTTCTCGTGCTGTGGACATTCAACCCTCAGCAGCGGGTTCAATCGTACGTTCCGCGCGGAGAGTCTAGCTCGCTTCCCGTAGCAGGTCTGGGCTCTACATCCCTGCAAGCTGACCAAGTAGATCAGTGGAGAGAACGACGGCGTGGGGCTCTAGTTGACTTGGGTACAACTGCCCTTTCTCCCAATCCCAATCTAAGCCCCTAAATTTGAAGGGCGGACCAGTGAGTGGCCGTTGGATCTAGAAACAAGTCAATTTCGAGCGCGAGCGGCGGCTGTGAATAGCGGTCGGGATGGCATATGCGCATCAAAGGCGGGATGTTCCCTCCGGGGATGGCACCGTGTTCGGACGGGTATTCCATGGTGTGAGCGTGTCGCTGATAGACAAACGACGTAGGTGTGGCCGGCGCATACCTAGGACAGCATTCGGTCCAACGATGTTGAGCGGACGGCTGAGGCTTCTGCATAGGTGCCGATGTGCTCATCCCCATCGCCGGCACACCAAATCCTCGGGTAGCCGGATTAAGTGAGCGCCGAGAGGCGCAGGCGAGGAGGTGGAGTGTTCATGAGTGTTTTTGTCAGGCCTAGTAAATGGCAGCAACAAAGTCAAAGTAAGGTGAAACACCAAGGATGTCGATGTCCTCCGGGTCGTTAATTCTATCCATATTTGAACAGACCTCGCCTCGACGCAGCCGTATGAGAGTAAGCGCGAGCGGGGCGAGGTTAGCAAGGCCGTGAATAATACGAGCCGAACGCAAGCAGTACCAGCAGAGGCAGGTGAGTAGCGGGAGATGGGAAGAAGTTGGTCAGGTGGTCGGACTTTACGCCGATCGAACTTTATCTTCCCGACTTTTCCTTGAAAGAGCTGATAAATTAATACACACAAGTAACGAGAGAACTCAGACGTGGTGTAGCTGGAACACAACCTTGTCTTATAGGCAAGAATAATCTTCGTATGGAGGTGGTCTAGGGTTTAACTCCCTGTGTCTGAATATAGAAATTTGGGATACGATTTTTTCTTTCTTTTCCTTTTCATTTCTCTCGCCTCCGAAATCGAAGTTTGAAGATCTAACTCAAGTCGAACATTCACGTTCGCGACTCCCAATTCGAATGTCTAAAAAATAAGAACCCCGCTCAGGCTCTACTAATTTGCCAATACTCAAACAAACTACAAACTGATAAAGGTACCCAGATGTTAAATGGAGGAAGTCAGACATGGTGTAGCGGGAACACAGCCTCTTCAAGTAAATCGGTAATTTTCGTTTGCAGAGGCAACCCAGGGTTCGAATCTCTGTGTTTGAATAGGTTTCAATCGACTACTTTTTCTTGTAATCTTCTTCCCTTCCAATCGAACACGGCGGTACTACCCCACCTCGAAGGAAGACTGCTCAGAACAGGGACTCCGCTCACTCGGTGCGTTCAACCAATATCCATTTATTTTGGAAAAAAATAATAATAATACTTGCACCTCCCGACGCACTCTTCGCACCCTCCCTCCGCCCCCAGCTCGCCCGCACCTCTACCTATCTACCTTCCACATACCGCCCGACGCCACCCAACCCGCCCACACATGCCGGAATCATAAATCAAAACCCACGCTCGCCCTTGTTCGCGTTCGTTCCCATTCGTGCTCGTCGGAGGCGATGCGCGTCAGCCGCAACTTGAGTTTGCGAACGCGACGATTTGAGAAGGGCTGGAATTCGGATTCAAGTTTCCGAGCGCGGCGAGCAGGAAGTTCGGCTATCCGCGAGACCGGCAAAGTGACCGGCGGCATCGACGGCGGCATGTTTCGGACTTTGAAATAAATGTTGGCTGCCCTTGTGCCTTCGCCTACTGCCGTTTTCTTGGTGACTTAGTGGTATCGCGGACGCGGTTAAAACCCTGCCTGTCCCTATTGCTTCCCGTTCGATGATGTGTAAGACAAAACTGGTTAATACTCAGATAGAGCTCTTGAGCTTGTATTGAGCCGTTCACAATAGGCATTATTGTACATGATAGTGTCCACCTCATTCCTTCTTTTCAAGTAGTCAGCATTAGATGCCACTGGTCTTTTGGGGGAAATAGGCGAGAATGGAGCTGAATAGAGGCAACGCGGCTTGTGCCGAGGAGGAAGGAATGATGCCGTGAGCCCAACTTTATTAGTAAAACTACAATGAGCGGATCAGAAGCACGGAAGTTTTGGAGTGGTTTGGAGAGGGTATTTCTGGCCCTATTATGCTTCATAAAACCCTACTGACTGCAATTTCGGGCGTGTTGCAGACGGTAGCCCCTATTTTTGTTAAGTTCCGATCAATGATGTAAGCAACCGCCGGTTGCTCGATCTGCCGGTTTCTCCATTTCCCGAATGCACTCGCGGCGAGAAGGGCTGGGACGAATTGTCGAGCGCGGGGATCGGATTCGAGCCTCGAACTTGCGCGCGCGGGATTTGAGCCTTGGATTCGATTTGAGATGCGCGGCGATTTGCGAGCGCGGGCTATGGACTCGAATGCCCGGGATTTGAACCTGCATTTATTTGCGAGCGCGTGCATTTGCGAAATGCGGAGATTCGAGACGTGGATTGCGAGCACGGGGGGTGTGATTGTGATTTGCGATCGATCGTGCGCGCGAGGCGTGAGGATTCTAGATGCGGTGGACTTTGTGGGACGACAGGTGTCAATTTGAACTTGAGCGTCTGCGTGTCGATTTGCGAGCGCGGGGATTCGGATGCAGGGCAAGGACGTGGACGTGGATGATGGCAGTGAGAGACGACGCGCGCGTCAGCAGCGAGGGGGCGCTGGGTGACGGCGGCACTGCGCCTGGATGTGCGGGCGCCTAGGATGTTGATTTGCATGTACATTTACGGATGCGAGGATTCGAGACGGTCCCGGACTTGATTGTAAAGATGGCGACGGCGTGTGCGCACGAGCGGTCAGGCAAGCGCGGAGGGAAGGGAAGGGGCGGGACGGGACGAAATAGCACACGGGATGAGGGAGGGAGACAGGTGAGGAAGTGCCTAACTGACAAGCGGATGGCGGCGAATGGCGGAAAAGGGATACGCGGTGGGCACCGGGCGCTGGGAGCTGGGAGCCGGTGCGTGGAAGGGATTGGGGCGAGGCGTTGGGGGCGGGGTGCGCGTTGTGCGAGGCGCAGGCGGCAGAGCGCGGAGAGCAGAGGGAAGGAGGAATGGGGGGTGCGTGCGCTGAGAGGAGGAGAGGAGGGATGAGAGCAGGAAGGACAGGAAGGGGGCGCGAGAGGCGGGAACGAGACCGAGACGGAGGCCGCGTGGTAGCGGACGAAGAGAGGGAAGGACGCGGATGGACGATGAAGAGGGGCGGAAGGAAGCGAAAAGTGAAGCTGCGAGAGCGCGCCATCCTCACACGGGCCCACAGAGAGGATGAAAGAAGTGGTTGGCGCGTGCGGCGATGGGACTCGAGGGCGGACGACGCCGCTGGGTGCAGCACGGGGCTGGTCGGTGTCGGAGGCGTCGGAGAAGACTGTTGAGGACGGCTCGAAGGACGTGGAGCCGGAGAGGCCGCTTGGGTGAGGGGCCGTGCGAGCGGGGCGTGGTCAACATCGAGGTGGTGGTTCACAAACAGAAACAGTTAGTTTCTGATTCACAAATAGAAGTTCACTTCTGTTTGTGCTCAGAGGACCGAAAATGTCTCGAAACGGCTTATATAATAGTGCTCTTTGTCATCTGGCTTATATAATTTTCCAGTCATGTGTGCAGAACTTCAGACTCCGCTCGGCTATCGCCGCAGCACTGAGGAGACACTAGATTACTACGTTCTTATCGCGCTTCTTTTAAGTTTTGACACGCATACGTGCAATTCGGTTCCCCTCGATCAGCACGCTCGCCATTCCAGACCTCTCCTCGTTATTTGAACTCCACCATGGTCGTTTGCAGCTGCAGCTGGACGTTTGCCAGTGGAGTTTCACCACCTCAAGGGCTTCGCCGCCGGCATCTGGTCGCGTCCTCGGCCAAACATTCTGAGGTCGGGGATGATGTTGAATGCTAAGCTGAAGAGCCCAAGTGGCTTTATTTTTTTCCCGAGAATCCTTCAAAAACTTTCCATGCAGGACTCAGAGTACGTGCCCCAAAACAACCTCCATGCTTAAATCAGCACAAGTCACGGCGCATATTTCCTGGTTACGCCCCGACTTCTTCTGAGGAATTGTCTAGAACGCGTCCTGAGTTCGGACCGCCTATGTGCAATAGAGGATATACAAATGTGCAATGAGGAAGGCACTTTATATGATAAGGTAATTTTGTTCCGCTGAATGTTCACAACCTACGCGCCGGCCATGACCACGGCCAATCCATGGAATGTCCCATCCACCTCAATATATGACTGATCTGCACGTTTTTCAGGCTGCGCAGCGCCTTGTCGAATGGTAGTGCCAAGGTTGCACAGTGAGACGGTATAAATCTTCGCAACCCGAAGCTTCCTGATAACACCCTAACAGACACTTCACGTCTTGTTGCTGTCCGCTTCACTATTCGGCTGGTTAGTAATAGTAGTAATCTAGTGTGGACTCACAACTTGTTCCCCTTCCGCATTATGTATGGTCTTGTACTGAGCCTGCAACTCTTCAACTTGTTCAAGCACTTGTGGAGGAGGAGGTGCGAGGGAGGCGCGTAGCGCCGACTGAGCGCC